GTGGTTCAGTCAGTTAAGCACGTGTCCTTGGCTCAGGTCATGCTTCCAGGGTCCTGGGATTGAACCCACATCAGGCTCCCTCTCCCTCTACCCCTTTCTCCCTATCCGCTCCCCCCACCCCACGCCACGCTCATTCTCTCATACTCTCCCAAATAAATCAGTAAAATCTTAAAAAAAAAAAAAAAAAGTAATGGGGCACCTGGGTGGCTCAGAGGGTTAAGCCTCTGCCTTCAGCTCAGGTCATGCTCTCAAGGTCCTGGGATCAAGCCCCACGTCAGGCTCTCTGTTCAGTGGGGAGCCTGCTTCCCCCTCTCTCTGTCTGCCTCTCTGATCTCTGTCTGTCAAATAAATAAAATCTTTAAAAAAAAAAAAGTAACAAAAAAGAACAAATGGAAACTCCTTAACATGCTATTTGCTGGTCAGTCCAAAAGCCAGTATTATGCTTAGTAATGAAATCATCCCCACTGAGTCAGGAACAAGACAAAGATGTATACTGTCATATCTATGATTTAATATTGTATTGTATTTTCTAGCCTATACATCTACAAACAAGAAATAAATTAGAGATAAAATAATTAGGAAGCTGTAATTAAAAGTACTACTATTTTCAGAAGTTATAAGTATTACCTCAAAAACCCAGAGATTAAAAGAAAAAAAAAACAAACCTACAGCAACTTAAGAAACTGCCAAGACCTTTATAAAGAAAATCTTATAGAATGACAACAGAAATTGAAACAAATGGAAAGACGTATCTGTGTTATTAACTTCTTAAAGATGTCAGTAGGCCCTAATATAATTTATAAATTTAACTTGATACCATAAAAATTCTAATTGCTTCTTTTTCTAACCAGAATTAAATTGATCTTAATGGGAAATTCATATGGGAAAATAAACAAAACAAAAACTCTGTAAAAGAGAAATATGGATAAAAGGGGGATGAGCATACCAAATATTAAAACATACTCATGTTATAAAACCTGAAAAGAGACTGGAAGATAGACAAATAAAGACAAAGTCCCGAAACAAACTCATATACATATGTGTATGTGTTACTACACTTTATACCACAATGAAATCTAAATGAATCAAAGATATAAATATGAAATGAAATAATGTTCTAGGAAAAAAGATGGGAAAATTCTTTCATTTTACCCACCATGGGAAAATTCTTTTAAAGCCTTGAAGAAGAAATACCTTTTTAAATATGACTCAAAAATCCAGAAGTCATGAAAGAAAAAAAATGAATAGATTTAACTAAATAAAAATACAAAACTGTGTATGTGGTTAAAAAAATCATAATTAAAATCAAAATGACAAAACAATAAAAATATATTTGCAATTTATATCATAGGCAAAGTACTAGTTTCCCTAACATATAAAGAGCACCTATAAATTAAGGACACAATATTTTAATACACAAAAGAAACTAACAGTTCACATTAAAAAAATACAAATGGTTTTTAAATGTATGTAAAAATACTTAACCACACTAAGGGAATGCAAATTAAAATCATACTGAAATATTATTTTTTACCTATCAAACTGGCAAGTATCAAAAACAATACATCACATACTGTGATGGTAAGGATGTGAGAAAAAAGGCAAAATTATACATTTCTGGTTTGCTAATAAGATGATAAAACCTCCATATCAGCAACTTGAAAATATCTATCAAAAGGTTCAAACCTCTGACCCAACAACTTAATTGCTTGAAATGTACCCTGCAGATACACACATATGTATGTATACAGCATGTGTATAATGTACCTAAATGTCAACAGTTAAAGACTAAGAAAAGTACAAAAGACAAGTGACATAAAACAATTTGTAAAGTATGTCTATCTGAAGGGAAAAAAGGAAGGTGCAAAATTGTATCAAGTATGCTACCATCTAAATAAAAAAGGAGAAGGGGAATATATGCACAAATTGTATTTCATGTATGAACGCAACCACCACTCGACAAATACATTGAGAGGAAAAAGCAGGCGACTGAGGGATAGGGATTAGAGAAAGACCTACTATACACTCTTTGTAGATTTTGAACTTTACCAAATGAATGCATTTTCTATCTAAAAATGAAGTTAATATTAAATAAATTAAATAAAATGTAAAATGTCACCTGCTTTCAACAGCTTCCCACCACCCTTAATTCTAAATGTCTTAAGATGGTCTTGTAAGGGGTGCCTGGGTGGCTCAGTGGGTTAAGGCCTCTGCCTTCGGCTCAGGTCACAGTCTTGGGGTTCTGGGATCGAGCCCCATGTCCGGCTCTCTGCTCGGTGGGGAGCCTGCTTCCCTCTCTCTCTCTCTCTGCCTACTTGTGATCTCTGTCTGTCAAATAAATAAATAAATAAATCTTTAAAAAAAAAAAAAATGGTCTTGTAAAATCTCATGATTTGTGACTTATTTCCCCAGTTTCATCTCTAACCACCCTCTCCACATTCCACAGCCCAGCTACCCGGAACCTTTTTCAGTTTCTTAAACAAGCTTGATACCATCTTGTTTTTAAACTTTAGCAAAATGCTATTCTTCAGGGCGCCTGGGTGGCTCAGAGGTTTAAGCCTCTGCCTTCAGCTCAGGTCATGGTCTCAGGGTCCTGAGATGGAGCCCACATCAGGCTCTCTGTTCAGCAGGGAGCCTGCTTCCCCCTCTCTCTCTGCCTGCCTCTCTGCCTACTTGTGATCTCTCTCTGTCAAATAAATAAAATCTTTAAAAAAAAAAATGCTATTCTTCTCAAAGAATCACTCTTCATCACTCTTCATCACCCTCTTCATATGACTAATGACTACTACAAAGACACAACTTAAACAAAATTAGTGCCTCCATAAAGCTTTCCTTGACACCCCATCCTTAGGTCTAAATTGGACGCCCACCTCTGTGCTCTCACTGTATCCTAGACTTGTCCTAGCATAGTGCTTTTTATGATATACAGTAGTTTAGCTTAATCATCGGTGTCCCTCAAGAACCTAAGTGCTGAAACAGAAGCACTGTATTTATCTGTATTTCTACTGAAGTCCCAGGAATAACTCTCTCTGCTGTACAGCTGGCACTTGATGAATATTTATAAGTGAACTGAATTAATGCACTTACTGAGTGAGGGAATAAATGTATAAATGAATAAGTGAATTAGATAAGAAGAAAGGGAAGGGCACAGATAGATTCATTCAGTAAAGAAAATAAGACAAGTTCTACTACAGGCTTTTCCTTAATATATGTTCCTTAAAGTCATCTACATATCTTGTCTATTAACAGTCCTCGTACCAACTTCAAACATTCCATTACTGCCAATAGACTCTAATCCCTATAAAATTGTTAACTGACAATAAAATGGCCATATACTTTTATTCCAATTTGCTACTGAAGCTAAAAGAGTTCTAAAGTTGATTTTATAAATATTCTGTTCTATGACTAAAGGGTTTGATTCTATTCTGCAGCACATGAATGTTTCCCAATTTATAGTTATCATTAATAGTCAAAAGTATTTAGTGATCTGAGTACATACATGAATTCAAGAAATTCTATTCTCTAATTTCATTTAACATATTAAAATTATTAATCTTTCTTATATCATACCCTGGATTTTTGCATACTTCTGCAGTTTAATCTTGCAAGTGACATTTCCAGGCAATAGAAATACTTTGAAAACTAACAAACTACAGCAAACTTTTGGTATTGAAAGATTTAACACTTGTGTATTCAGCTTCCCCAATACACATAAAATCCAATGTATTAATGAAAACCACAATGAGATATCACTCTACACCTATTAGGATGGCTTTTACTTTTGAAAAGGCAAACAGAAAATTACAAGTATTAGAGTGTGCAGGAACTGGAACCCTTGTGCACTGCTGGTAGGAATATAAAATGATGCAACTGCTGTGGAAAAGAGTTTGGCAGTTCCTCAAAAAGTTAAACATAAAGTTACTGTGTGATCCAGCAATTCTCATCTAGGTATATACCGAAAATAATTAAAAGCAAGACTTAAACAGATACTTATACACCAAATATTCATAGCAGCATTATTCACAACAGCCAAAAGATGGAAAGAACCCAAATGTCCATGAACAAATGAATGGATAAAAAAAAATGAAGTGCAGACATACAATGAAATACTACTCAGTCTTAAAACAGAATGAAATTCTGATACTGTAATGAACCTTGAAGACATTATGCTAAATGAAATAAATTAGAAACAAAAGGATAAATATATGATTCCACTTATACACCTTTAATAGGCAAATGCAAAATACAGAAGGTAGAATAGAGGTTAGGGCTCTTCCCACAAGGGCTGTGGGAAGAGGAAAATGGAGAGCTATTTAACTAGCGTAGATTCTATGTGGGATGATGAAAAAGTTCTGGAGATGGTTGCATGGTGATTATGGCACAATATTGTGAATGTACTTAATGCCACTGAATTATACATCTAAAAATGGTAAAACAGCAGATTTTATTATGTATATCTTCCTACACAAAAGAGAAAAAATCTTAGGTCCTATCATCAAATTAACTCACCATGTCCAAGACTGCATTTACTATCGTCCCTCCTAAGCCAAATTCCAACCCCAATTTTCCCATTTCAATCAAGAGAGTTAAAGCTTAAAAAACTGGAGTGCCCTCTGCTTCCTCTCATTTCTTTACTAGGTCCCCTTTATCGTTATGCTCTAAAAATACATCCTTCACATCGTTCATGCTTTCTTCTGCAACTATCTTATTAAGTCATCTTACCTATGGACAAGAGACTTTAAAACTTATCAAATTTCTAAACTTAACCAATATAGTATAAGTTTACTTGTGTTAAATAGTAAAACTAATAGAAGTATATAAAATTTTAAGAAAAATTGAACTGTTTATTACTATAAAAGTAAAAATAAATCACTCCACTATTAAATTCTAACTTTGATCAAAATAATGGCTTAATTTTTAAGAACATCCTTATTTATATTGGTTATTTATACTACTTCACATTAATCTTCCAATGTCATCAATGAATATTTCACACCTACCTTTGTATGATATTCCATAGCATCCAATTCACCTTGATTGAAAACGACACATCTTTTACGCTTCTAAAAAGAGTAAATTACAGACAAAATTATGTTGCCATCTATCTATCACAATATTGATATTTTGAAATATATTAGTATTTCTTTGTTATCACGTTTTCCATAGTGTGTATCTTAGTCTTTAATCGACAAGGAAGGTCAAAATCAGTGAAAAGTGTATGGACTAAGGAAATAAGATTTCCCAAATAAAAAAATTACTATGTATTGTTATTATTAATTATTATTGTTATTACTACAAACTTAATGAATGATATAAGGTCACCTAACCTGTATCTGCTATTAATAAGAACTAGTACCAATGATAAAATGTAGCACAGACATCCATGGAACACAAGAAAACTGTGACACTGTGTATATTACTAGTGTCATCTATCAGCTGATATATATCACACAATTCTCAACTTCATTTATGAGGAAAGGAACTATTCATATACTATCATTTTAAAAATCCCTTGCATTTTCAATAGCTCTTTATGACTGATCTGAGGGCTAGGTATAAATCAGATATACTAACACCATTCTGTATCTAACAACTCCACAGAAAAGAACATGTAAGACAGTGCAAAATAGAGCAGGGACTTCATACCTCTTATTGCTGAAACATGAGTGCATACATGGTAGCATAATCCCAGCAGGCTAACAATAAATGTTTCCTGGCTAAATAAATAAATGGACTGAAGACTAAGCTAATTGAACAGTTTGCCTTAGCATATCAGAATTAAGGTAAGTTTTTGTGAAGATATTCATTACATACACTCATCTACATTTTTCCATATTAAAATGAGAAACTTATCCAACATAATAGTGAAAACATTAAAAGATGCCCATACTTAGTGAAGTGCAAATGCTTATTATTTTTCTGTATTAGTAATAGTATTGATAATCCATGTAATATTTCACTGAAATCTCAGACATTATATATTTTCTTTCCTATGACTGACACACAGCAAATGGTCAATAAATATTTGTCCAAAGGAAAAGAAAGACAGAAGAAATTACAAGAATATTAAAAGTCCTATTTCAGGAAACGAGAACAATGTAATAAATTACCCCTATTACTTTCCTTATTCTAATTCTCAACATGCTTTCTTATTTAATATCTTTCTTCATGGATCTCAGTTATAAGATCCATGAAGGTACTAACTTTGTTTATCTTGTTTCATCCCTATATGTAAAACAGCACACAGAAAGATCTCAAATATTTGTGGGTGAGTAATAAAGTTACTCCTACTCTATCAAAGAAAATGTTAATATAATCTATCTGAAATGGACTTTGTATAATCACCTCTGAACTCTTCAGAAACATAAAAAGTATTAAAGCATAATTAATTTGATCTTGAGTATAGCATTCTTAAAACTTCATCAAAAGACTGCATCAGTGTATATACAAATACATATGCTTTAAGAACATACGCAATTTCCTATAGTAGCTTTCTACTTTTATTATTAGAAACTTTATGAAATATCACCCTTCCTGCAAACTTCATTATATGAACTTATCCCCATTGGAAAGGTCTCTATGAATCTCCCAAAATCCATAAACTGCTTTGGGATTTTGCAGACAAAGCAGCACATTGTTGAACAAAAACAGTTCTAAAAATATGCAATTAATACAAATGACTAGCAGAAAGGGCTTTTTGTTTTTGTTGTTTTGTTTAATTTACAGAGCATTCACTTTTGAGCAAACTTTGCTTACTTTTGAAATATGCAAATTTGGTCTTCTAAGAATGGTAGAACATTAGGAAAGAGTTAAAAATTACATTGCCTTGGGGCACCTGAGTGGCTCAGTGTGTTAAAGCCTCTACCTTCAGCTCAGATCATGATCCCAGAGTCCCAGGATCAAGCCCTGCATTAGGCTCTCTGCTCAGCAGGGAGCCTGCTTCCCCCTCTCTCTGTCTCTGCCTGCCTCTCTGTCTGCTTGTGATGTCTCTCTCTCTGTGAAATAAATACATAAATAAAGGTTTAAAAAAATTACATTGGCTATAACTAAAACCTTCCTATGCTTTATGGATTGTTTTTTAGACTTAGTAAGTTGTAAGATATTTAAGATATTAGAATAATAAACTTCTTCTGCATGTTCTGTAGAAAAATAAAAATGTATTAAAACTTTCTACCTTCCCAATAGAAATGCAGTTTTCTTCTTCAACACCATCCATTGGATCTTCCTTTTCATTCCTTTGTCGGCATTCTTTGTGAACAGTTGGGGTTATATAAGGTTTGGTGACATTAAATAGCTCAGATCGAAAAACGTATCTCTGTATGACGATTTTACAATTTCCTCTGGCATCATTATCTGGCTTAGTGGTAGAGTCAAAAGCACTAAATGTAGCAGAGGCTCCCAAAGACATCAAAGAATCCTTTTGAAGAGGATCAAAGTGGGCAGATGAAGTGGGTCCATTTTTACTGAAACAAGGCTCATGATGTTGGTGAAGTTGGTAGTTTATGTTGTTAATGAAAGAAAGATGATCTAATAACCATCCTGGAGACAGCTGATGCACCACTGACATTCTCTTCTCTTAAAAAAGAAAGGAAAAAAAAAAAACAACTCTGGAAATATGAGGGTCTAGATGTAAAACCCAATTTTCCAGATGAACTTCTTAAATGTCCCGCATTTCAATAAAAATATACTTCACATACACAGGTAATTTCATGTGCATGTACATAAACTTAACATATACACAAAAGAGAATTTGAGATTAATATGTTAAGGAAAAATGCAATGTTTTAATATAAACTTTTGATTACAGGGTTGATAATTCAAACTTTTCAGCCAATTTAGCAAAAGAGCATTAAAACATAATCTTATTTCTGGGATCCCAACTGAATCCTCCTGGGCCCTCCATACAACCTACTGTTCGTCCTTGAATCCAGCCACTAGGTCCACATCCTCCAAGTCACGAAGTCACTCAATTCTTAAAGATGAGAGTGTTCTGTCAAAGCAAAGAATACTACATTACCTATGTGAATTCACCCTTTTTAATGAGATAAACCTAGAGAGGTCACATAATTTCCAGAGGAGTTGTTAGCAGATCAGTCCTTGTTTTTTCAAAGCACATTTGCCATAACAAGTCAGCCCATCAACACTGCCACACTTAACCACTGCTACCATAGGAGTGCGAAAAACAAAATGAAAGACTGGTCTAGGCAGAGCACAATGCAATTTTAACAGATATCAGAAGTACCAAACCCTAACAAAATTGCAAGGTTATTGGTTCTGAGCAGTCCTCCTTCAGCAACTATGTTTTTTCAAAACCTCCTTTTTACCAAAAAAAAAAAAAAAAAGGTAAAGTTCTGGGTATTGCCTACTAAATGTAGTATAATGAAGAACTTAAGAGGAGGACACAACAAGTGTTTTAACACTACAGCTAGTAAGAGAGCATTTAGATCCAAACTTCTAACTCCATGTAGTGTCAGCAGTGTGACCATGGACAAGTTATTTAATCTCACCGAGTCTCAAATTCATTCATTTTTTATGCTATCTCAGAAGGCAATTTAGAGAACTAAATGAGATAATCTAAGAGCTGCCCAGTGCCTGACACACAGCAACTGCTCAAACAAATGCTATTAGTGATGGTAATCCTGGTATTGGTCCTCCCTTCAGAGTCACCACTTGCGGTAATGTAATGGCTAGTGAGAGGAAGAAATTTAGTCAAGAAGACTGAAACTCAAAAGATGACATGCCCAATATTACAATTAGTTAACCGCGAATCTGCTCCAAGAATCAGTATGCGGACTCTGGCTCAAAGCTCTTCTCCCACCGCCACCACTCTCCGGGTATTGGGCAGTACATGTCTCTGAGTTTAAACTCAAGGAAGCAGGGAAGTTCTATTTTAGCAAAGTACACTACGGTGCTTAAATCCTTTCTATTCTACCTCTCCCCTTCACACCCAAACCCACCTTCTACCCCGTTGGGTTCCTCATAGCTTTACCCTCTGGCCACCACTAGAGGACCGTGAAACCCTCGCGAGCAAACTGCGAACCCGATCCTTAGCGGCCGCGGCGCCACACCCGCTAGATCCTCGAAGCCGGTGACACCCACCCTCAGCAGTCACTATCTCCTACCTCACCGCATCCCCTGTCAGAAAAACTGCACGACGTCTCCCAGACTTGCATCAGGAAAGAAGCAACCCTTTAAAGAGTGGTCATGAAAAACGCCACTTCCATAGCAAAGGAAAGAAATTTTTCTAGGAGCCAACGGGCGCTGCCATGTTGCTGTACGGAAAAAGCGTTTCCAGGACGATTTGGAGCTCTCCATCCGCTCCTCAGAGACCTAGAGCGCCCAGGTCTTCAGCGCTAACTTTAGAAATCGGACCAGACTTTGTAGGGTACGCTTGCACTTACCAGAGACGCCAGCGTGCTGACCGAAGCGGCAGGCGGCCAGCAATACGCACAATTCCCGCGACGGGGAGCGGCGCGGAAGAGTTGTGCACGCGTTCGACGTACGTGTTGACGTAGACGCCAGCGGAGATTTTAAAATTCGAACTGCGAAGGCGGGTGGAGGGAGGAGTTGGGTGTTTCGGCGGCTGTTGGCCTGCCCGGTGAATAGTTGCACAGGTTACAGGAATTCGTTCCCTGGGTTGTGTCACGAAACTGGAAGAAAGGTAATTAATGACTTTGAGTTAATTTTGTGCCGCCAGAACTGTTATAAGGGAGAAATTGATGGCGCTAACAGATTAGATTTAGAGGCCCTGAGGAGCAACGTTTTGGTGTCTGCCATTGTGAGAAGCCTCCGGGCGGAGTCTGTACGGGGAGCAAGTTTCCCGGAGTCCAATAAATTTCAACTGACAGTAACTTCCAGGGGAGAAGAGGGAGACCTAAGGGCACTCTGGTGGGGAGCAGAGACTCTGGAGGGAGGAAAGGGGGAGAACTGACGGGAGCAGGGAGAGGAGGGACTAGACGAAGAACTGTTTGAGGTGTTGCGTTTGAGATACTAGTGTAACGTTCTAGTGGGTGTGTAGGGAAGTCTTAATCTTAAATTACATTTTAAGTGAAGATTTGGAATGTACATGTAGGTGAGTGGGAAATTTGAATGCGTAGCAGACATGTATAAAGATGTGAAAGAAATAGGTGGCAGAACAAGATGGAAAGAGTGTACTCAGTTTAAAAAACAAAGGAGAGCCTAGAGAAGTGACAGGATAACCACAAATGTCCACAGCGCTGGAAATCAAGACAGGACCTGAGAAATCTAGGTGTATAGTGTCTAATGCCACAGAGATGAGGTAGGATCAAAAGATTTGCAATCGGGCGCCTGGGTGGCTCAGTGGGTTAGGCCGCTGCCTTCGGCTCAGGTCATGATCTCAGGGTCCTGGGATCGAGTCCCGTATCAGGCTCTCTGCTCAACAGGGCACCTGCTTCTCTCTCTCTCTCTCTCTCTCTCTCTGCCTGCCTCTCTGTCTACTTGTGATCTCTCTCTGTCAAATAAATAAATAAAATCTAAAAAAAAAAAGATTTGCAATCATGAGTATTCTAGGAGACAACTGCTTCAGTAGAGATGAAGGAAATGTTAATTTTCTGAGAAATAAACAGCCTGTAGACCATTTTGTGGACCAGATAATTGATCTTTGTTGGAAGGGAGATTGAAGTAAGAGGGGCACTAATTAAATATAAATGGGAAACAGTGGGTTAAAGACAGAGCAAGAGAGATGGAGATTAGGAAAAGAAAACAGAACAGCTGTATTCTCTAAGACCAAAGTAAAGGAAACATCTATTTATTTATTTATTTATTTATTTATTTATTTATTTATTTTGACAGAGATCACAAGTAGGCAGAGAGGCAGGCAGAGAGAGAGGAGGAAGCAGGCTCCCTGCTGAGCAGAGAGCCCGATGCGGGGCTCGATCCCAGGACCCTGGGATCATGACCTGAGCCAAAGGCAGAGGCTTTAACCCACTGAGCCACCCAGGCGCCCCAAGGAAACATCTGGAGGTAGTTCTTGTCAGGTAGCCTCTGACTTTCCCAAATTATTAGTAAATATTCGTGTGTGTTGAATATTTTTAAAAGAAGTTAAATACACATTCCCTGCAAATGAGGACTTCACGTTATATGAACAAGAGGGCCCAGGGAAAGATGATCTTGAAGAAACAATGCTTGGTTGCTTTCTGTTTGGGGATGAAGAGAACAGCTGGTGCTTAATGAAGCATCTGTGTCTGGAAAGATTTTTTAATACTGAATTCATTCATGAATGCAGGTGGTAAGCATGAAGCGCAGTTCAGTTTCCACCGGTGGTGCTGGCCGACTCTCCATGCAGGAGTTAAGGTCTCAGGATCTCAATAAACAAGGCCTCCATACCCCTCAAACGTAAGTCCTCATGCCTGCCTTGGACAAAAAAATCTGTGAAGATGATTAATATAAAAGTGTACTATGATGTTCTGATGAATCTTGTTTGTTCACATTAGTACCTAATTTGGGTTAAAGAAGGCTAAAAATTGGCATATTATTGTGTTTTATCTCATTTGTTCCTTAAAATTCCAAAGCTACAACCTTTGCCCAGCAACTCCTAAAAATGACTGTTAATTCCCTTTCAGCATTTTTTCTTATTTTCCTCCTTTATTCGAGACCTGCTTAATTCAAGCTTATTGCTAGAACTTTGAATTTACTGAAGTATATCCAACTAGCAAAATTACCAGAGTTATTACTTATTTGCTTGATGATAAGCTGCAGTTTAGAAGAGCCTACAGAACTACTTCTCCAAACTGTTTTCTCAGTATTCACTGGAAAGTGGTATATAATTTTACTATCATAAACAAGTTTTTCTCTTTAACTTTGTTCTAATTAAAAGAAGGCTGTTTGTAAGCCACTGAGGGCTTTATCAACCCTGTGATACCAAGGTACAAGTTACTTGCTAACTGTACTTAAATTACTTAGGTTTACATTGTATAAGCCTCAGCTACTTTTAGAAATTTGAATTATTTGTATCTTTAACTTCTGAAATCAGAAATTTTTTGTATTATTACACATTATGTACACTAAAAGATTTATGCCTGGAATTATATTGAAATATGTCACTGATAATGTTTTGGGTTTGTTATTTACATAATGTATGTTCTTAGGTGTAGTTGCATTCTGATACAATAGGCCTTAAAAGAAAAATGTTAAATGTAGCTATCATCCTATGATTGAAGATACCCATTTTTAAATTCTTTTCCTTTGAGGTTATCCATAAATGTACATACGTTAAAATGACTGAAATGAGAATGTAGATAATGGTTTTTTCTACTTTCTTCTTAACATTTTAGCATTAGTACTTGTGCATGTTATTAGCCTATACCATTTTTAACAGCTATGATTGCTACTAAAAATTTTCATGATTCTGGGCCCCTGGGTGGCTCAGTCATTAAGTGTCTGCCTTCATCTCAGGTCATGATCCCAGGATCGAGCCCATATTGGGCTCCTTGCTCCGTGGGAAGCCTGCTTCTCCCTCTGCTACTCCCCCTGTTTGTGTTCTCTCTTTCGCTATGTCTCTCTGTCAAGTAAATAAAATCTTAAAAAATATATTTTTTTCATTATTCTGAATTATTTTTATAGGTAACGGAAAAGAGGTGCTAGTTCCAACATATTTCCAAAAATTTCTTAAACTAATTTTTTTATATTTATTTTTTAAAGTTTGTCTTTTTCATTTTGTTAAAGCAAAGAGAAACCAACCTTTGGAAAGTTGAATATAAACAAACCCACATCTGAAAGAAAAGTCTCTGTGTTTGGTAAAAGGTAATGATATTTTGTATTATTTTTAATGAAGGGATTCTAAAAAAAAATTGGATGGCATGATCTCTTACAAAAGAAAATTATAAGCTAGCTTTCTTCCGTTTTAAATGATGAAATGGTTATATCTGTTTTAGATAGTGCTAAGAGATCTATCAGCACATTCAGACCACTATTTCATGTTATAAGTGAATAGATTAAAAATTCTACACCTAGCTTTCAGATAGTATGGAACCATAGCATTTTTAAATTGGGGGGAACCATCATCTAGTTCAACATTTTAGGCCCAGGCTTTTTTATACTCTTAAATATTAAGATTCCAAAGAGCTTTTTATTTTATGGGCTGTATTCATGGATATTAATCATATTAGATATTAAAACTGAAAAGTTTTTAATTATGCATTCATTGAATGTAAAATAATAATAACCCCTTACATGTTAACAAAAATAGCATAAGTATATATTTTTTCCAAATACAAAACTATTTCAGTAAGAAAAGTGATGTTTACATCTTTGCAAATCTCTTTAATGTCTGGCTAAATAGAAGATCGCTAGCTTCTCATATCAACTTCCACATTGTTAAAATATCATACATCATATAGCCAACCTCTGAAAAACTCCAGAGTACACTCATGAGAAAATGAGAATGAAAGGGGCAAGTACCATCTTAGGTTTTCAGTATGAAAATAGCTTTGACTTCTCAGATCTCCGAGACACACTTTGAGAACCACTGTTTAGTGTAGATCAGTGGTTGCCTATGCTGAAGGTAGGGCAAGTCTTGATTGTTAAAGGGTAAAAAAACTTTTGCAATTATGAAAATGTTCAATATCTTCATATCTTCATTGTGGCAGAGATTACATGTGTGTATACATTGTCAAACCTCATCATACTAGACACTTTAAACAGATACATTTTACTCTAAGCAAATTACAACTCAATAAAATTGATCTATTTTTTAAGAAATGATAAACCCCAAAACTGAAAAAATAATCTGTTCTTTTATCTCACCAAAACCAAATATAACAGTTTTAAGGCAAACCTGTTCAGTTGTTTTGAAAATATTCAGAGATGAAATGTTTGTTACATTACAAAAGTCTTTGCCTTGAAACCAGATTAAGCTCTTTCTGGTATTCATTCCAGCTGATGAAGAATCTTAAGACATTTTTGTATTGTAACTTTTCCCTCAGTGGTGAACCTCAGAGATAATGGTAATTATTATAAAATCTAACATTTTCTGAGCCAGACATTGTTTTAAGTATTTTGTCTGTACTTACTCTTTTAATCAATCCTCAGAACTGCCCTGTGAATAAATACTGTTATTGTATCCATTTTATAGAAAGGGAAATTGAAGCACAGAGAGATTAAGTAATTTATTTAGGATCATACAACTAGAAACAAGAGGAAGAATTTGAAACCACAAACTCTGGTTCTAGGCCTTGTGCTCTTAAGCTATAAATTA